TCGTTTGTACAATTTGAATATTTGATGGTTCCTAACTAAGATCCATATAATTTATTTTTAGAATCTATCCAAGTAGATCCTCCTCCAAGACAATCACTCATCCAATTATTGCAATATTTATTGTTGATCACCGTAACGAAGCCTCATTATTGTACAAGATTTTGGTTTCACAAGCAGTACCTGTAATCATGCATTTTGCACAACTTATTGTTGTTAAATAATATTAGTGTTTCTGCGAGTTTTCCTGTTGCAAGTTGAATTGCAGCAAACTAAGCCATTCTGAAAAAAATAGTATAATTTAAAGTTGAAAATACTAAATTGGCATTCGATTGAATTTTTTACATAATATATAGGGGTTGAATATTAGCAAAAATCTCCAAGTTCTGAGAGGTGATTGAAAACTTAAAGGATATCTAGAAAAAGATGTGAATTAAATACATTCATATAAAATGTAAGCACATCCCTTTGTTTCCAAACATTTATCGAATCCGAACTTAGTGCTATAGATATAAATTGTAGTAGCGACAATGTTGCTTGATTCTTCGGCCATTGATTTGATTTGATTTTTATAGCAAGATTATTCAAATAACTGCGTACATTTGTAGGGTGAACCTAAACTAATTTTTCAAGGTTTCACTCTATACTAAATAAATACACATAAATAAAAAGAGCATTGCTTACTTCTTATATATTATAATTTTTTATATTTGTATAACGCAAATTATACATGAATTAACGAACAAACAAAAATGGATAACTAGAGTAATTTAAAAACAGTGAATTATTATAAAACCTCTTCTTCTATGCGTTTTATTAATCAATCAGTTCTTTATTAAGTAGCCAAAGCAGAATGCGACAACAAATAAAATAAAGATAATCGACTTGCCTTTTTTTAAATCACTACTTTAATAACCAAAACACCTACTCTTCTTCACTAATCCACTGATTATAACTTAGTTCAGTAATCAAGCTGCAAGTGTCTTTGATGTATAACAATTCCTCTACAAAAAATTAGTTCTCAGAAAATCGAAAAGAATAGGTTTCAAACCTGATTGAATCATAGTTGCTGAAACTCTCTACAATTCTGATTGTACTTATCGTCAAAAGTTAAAAATTCCGATCTCCGATCAAAAGATAATTTATATCGAAATAATGTAACTATGAGAAATTAAAAAAGGAACCTCTAAATACCTTGATCATCACAAGCCTGCAAAGGCGAAAAGTAGCTTAGTTTGGTGAAACTTCTTCTTTTCCTCCTCTTAAGTTAATTATTACTCCGTTTTCTGTCATATTGCTCTTCTTCATCCTCAACAACCTTTCAGAATTTCTGCATCTATATTGTTCAACTATTTTGGGCTTCCTTAATTAGGAGTGGAATAAATATTTATGCTTTTCTAAAATGAACTATTTAGGATGAAGTATTTCTTTAGTAAAAATGATTTATTTGGAATTGTATTTTAAGAGTCTAGACAAATTTGAAGAAGCGTGATAACTTTTTCAAAGAGGAGTAAAATTCCTATTAATCTGAATAATTAGGCTTCCCTCTTGTATTAGTTGCACTCTTTCCAACTATCTTTGTACCTTTCTAATATCCAAACATCCAAACATAGGTAAATATTTCATTTTGTGAGAAAAATTAGGAGTAAATCCATATTACTGAATGATTAGATTATCTTCATGTCTGATCCTTTCTGCCTCTGCAACTAAATCAGATCTTCTCAATAGCAACGCTTAATTTTCATATCGATTTAACTTTAAAATGTCTCACCTTCTCCTTGTTTTTTTACATGTAAGGAATCTAGCTATTTGTTCATCTCTCTACTTCATCAAAGCTGTTGGTTATAATCCAAATTTTTCCAAAATTCATCTACCATTTTGTTAGCTGTAGATTTAGCTAAACACAATATCCTTTTATGAATCCTCTATATATCAATCTCCATTTTCGAGATCTTTGATGTAGTAGTTTTTCATAAGTAAAGCAACATAATCAAAATGTCCATCATTTCTTCCACTCTTTTATCCTCTAATGTTAATGATGTATTATTAGCTTATTTAATAAATTGCTTACTACCAATAATATTCTGATAAATCTCACCAACCCTTTTTCTAAATAACTTCATCATAATATCCTCTTGCCTTTAATTTATTCCCATTCCAATAGTCATTCCACAAAACAAATTTTTCATTTTTGTTTCTGAAACTTCCTTTCCTAACTTCGTATTTAAGTTGCAAAATAGTATTTTGTGAAAACCCGACCATAGTACTGTATCACAGGTTAGGAAAGATAGATTCAGGGATAGCAAAAATTAAACTCATTATTTATAAAAGTTTCTTAAATCTTGGTACTCACTCTCAAGAATTAGCGCTTAAAATTTTGTATAATTTGATATTAATAATTAACAAAAATTATAATATTTTATGAATAATTTAGTTCCATTTTTGAACAATAATGAATTTAATCTAAGCAGTTAATTTATTCTTTTTGAACCTATACTGATTAGAAATTTAGTCTTTAAAAGTGTGGATAATGAATTTTTCATCTGCCCTAACATAATCAACCAAAAAATTGAAATGTTTAAATACTCAAACTATACATATATCTAATTTTAAACTGGTCTTTATATCCTCTGTTGAAATTAGCTACAATATATATATTTTCTGATCTTCAAAACCTTATAATTCTTAATAGATTTAATCCATCTACTCATGTAGAATCATCGACTTAAGTAATTGTTAATTAATTAAATATTTACAACTTATTTCTCAATCGAATTTATTGATTTTACTTATTTTCTTTATTAACAAACCCAAATTGACTTATTTAGGTTTTTTTTTAGTGAATACATTATTTAAAATTTCAATTATGATCAAGGATTTAATAACAATGGTGATACTAAAATTTTAATTTCTTGCTGTTATAGACTTGAATTATTCTTAGATGAAATCTGAACCTCACTAAAATTATTAATAAATTTTCTATAAACTTTAAAGTAGACTTAGGTTATTATACTATCATCACATATTTTGCTTATGGATTGTGGAGTAGAAATACTCCTCTTGGCAATATGAATTAAGTTGGGCTAGTGGGTATTTTTTAATTGTTTCGATCTTAAGAGCGCTACAGAATATTCAAATCAAAGAGTAAATGTCATAGGTTATGATTGTCTTAATTATGAAACAAAGTCAATCAATAGAGATATTTAATTTATTGGTGATGATGGTTAGTTCTATAAATATGAAAAATCAAAAGACAAATAATAAAATGAATTTGTTTGGCATTATTTTTCAACTATTGTATGCCATTATAAAATATAATAGAAATAATTTATTATCCAGTAACATTACTTTATGAAGTAATAAACATACACCTGATTAAGTTATATAGCATTCATAGAAACGAAAGTAAAAGAAGAGGAAGAATTAGTTAACGCATTATTGTGACAGGATATATTAGTTAGTATCACATTTTATTAAGAATCAATAAAATTAGAGTTGCTGAACATAAGGATGGATCATCAATATATAAATTTTAGGAGTTTTCTTTAAAATGGAGATTTTTAAACTTATTACTTATTATCTTTCCAAGTATATAGCAATAGATGATAAAATGTTTCCCGTAACTCTTTTTTAGCTAGATGTTTCCAAAAATTCTATTTTTTCAATACTTTTAGGAAAAAAGAATATATTTGTTTAGATTAGAAATATACTCTCTATCTTTTTCCTTTCCTTGACCATAAATAAGTAGAAATTATGGATTATATTAATCATAATTGAACTTAACTCTTTTGGACTTCCTTTTATTCATAATCTAACTCTCCAATGTATTTCTCTCCTTCCCCAGGAGACTAGTCATGGTGAAACCATAGCCCTCCCTAGCTCAATCTGTATTATTATTTGGTCTATGGGTGATCACGGTTGTTAGATATTTATATCAGTTAAACACCGTTGTTTCCAACAGTATATCACCCGTACAGCATACTGGCCTATTAAGACGGTCGTAGATGTGACTAGAATTTAATACTACAATACCTCTGACCTTTATTTTTTACCTAAAGTATTCTGCTAGTTTTATTAAATTTCTAGTAATTCACTTCAAGATTCATATGCTTTTCAATATTTTAACGATTATCATAATCTTTTTTATTCTTTTGGTGATACTCAATCGTTAATGTGATTTTTCTTAAAATATCCCTCTCAATATTGTGAAGCCTCAGCTCCTTTAACCAAAGTATCAAACAAATTTAATTGTTTTGAGTAAGCATTAGTTTCCACAATTTGATATTACTTACTATTTTACCTAGTTGAGGTTTTATAATCTATAGAGATTTCATATATATTGATCAATTATGTTTCAACTCTTAAATTAATATCATTATAATAACTTAAACAATATACTAATGTGAAAGATTAAAACTATAAAGGTAGCCATATTATAAATAAAAATTTATTATGATATTAAATTAAAAATACCAAATAATCATCTAATATGTCTTAAGTTAATTTCACATTCAGCCATATCAATAATATTAATTTGCTTCTTATTTAATTACTACAAAACTTCATGATCATTAATATTTTCTTGTGTTGTTGCTAGAAGCCTAAATGTAATTGTAGAAGCAGAATCATCAGGACCTATATATTTATATTAATTAAATTTAATTCCAACATCTTCATAAGGATAAATTGATGTTGTATGCCTACTAATATTAGTTATTAAACATGCTAAATGAGTGTTTGTTTAACCTATCAAAATTAAACTTCTCACCTTATCTTTGACACATTACCACCTAATTAAGGGGCGCTTGCCTGGATTTAATAAATATCCATCCTTCACAGTAGAGTTATTCTCATTAGAAAAACTAACTTATAAACTAAATTAAGTATAATCGTCAACAGCTCTCACAAATAAATTACCAGCTACTCCTCCAAAAAAACCTCCAATTATTCCTCCAATCACTATTCCAACAGGCCCTAAAGATGCACCTACAGCCATGCCGCCTTCAATGCCTAAGTAACCAAATCCTATTTGCACCTCCGGTTTTGATAGCAATCAACACAGAATTATAAAGTTTCTCACTTTCACTTAAAAAATCTGACAGCAACACTCCTCCAACAGAGATGGAAGCCATAAGTGCAGTTAATCCGATTCCAACATAAGGAACTACTTTTCCCAAAGATTTTACACTTTAGGCATACATCACTCCACCTTAAACTGAAGCAGAAAACAATATCCCTTTGCCTAGTTTTTCACCATCAACTCCATCAATCATGCAATCAACTGCTAGACTCCCTGCTGTTCCTGCAATAGCTCCACCAATTTATCCCTATGCTTTAGCCTGCTAGAATTGATAATTCATTTCCTTGGCTTGTATGTTTTTCATGTTAAATTTTACATTCTATTAACCCTTTATTGATTATTAAACTTCTTAGACTGTTACTGAATTAGTTTCTGTTGGTTTGCCAACCGCTTTCCATTTATTTGAATACCCATTTTTACCTTAAGCGTCGATTTTTTTTGTAAATGTCAACTCATTGTTATTGTTTGGATTATGATGCATTAGCAATTTATTTCCATCCGAAAGAGTTGCTTCGTATGCAAAATGACCATTCTTATGTTATATTTATTGCAAAGAAGTTATCTTCTAGGACTTAAGCTATTAATAGGATAACCCTGCTGTACTGCCTTAATATACAGGCTTTTATTAGAACAATGGATCATCTATGTATTAAGTATTTGTAATTTTTATCTTTGGAACATTAATTTGATTCAGCATGAAGTTTTATTATAATTATTACAAATATTCTTTTTCCTACTCTATATCGATAATTCCTTTTAATACCAATGTGCAAATATTTAGTTTAAGGATTTCATCACTTCATCAATATGTTCTTCAAGCAATTTATATTGATTGAAAGCTAATTAGTTTTAATATTCAATTTTAACAACTTCAATATAGGTTCTAGTAAGATATTTAATTTGACTCAAAATATCAGGGTGGTTTGAATGAATGAAAATCTTAGTTAATTAAATTTGAATCTATTGAAATACATTTTCCAATTCCTTTTTAATTCTGGAGAGAAATTTTCTCCAATATTATCCTTAGATTTGGTTGTCATTTGTACAAAATGATAGAAATTCAAAAATTCTTTTACATTAAAAATTCACCAATGTGTCTATTTTAGGCTTTATTTTCTACTCAACTACTGAGTCCCAATAGGTCTTTCTCATCAGTGGATCAAGTGCAAAAGCATAGTTATTCTTAACTTATTTGATTGTCACAGTGTAAATTTATTGATTTTAAATTTATTGCTATTATATTTCTTAGACAATAAATTCAAATTATGGGAATAATATTACTTCTTCTTCCTATGAAAACTGGGAATGATATTATTGTAATTTAAAACAAGGATGAGGAATTTCTTCATCCAAAATGATGTAGTAAAGTATCCCATATAAATTATTAGAAGAAAATGTTTCAGCAATAACTTTAGATAAAGATGTGCTCGTAATTGTATTCCAAAACAATGAAATTTGCTCGTCTTTTGATTAATTTAGGTCTATCATAATTTGTTCAAAGGTGTCTTCTTCGAAAAAGGATATACCTCTAAAAAGAATTTTAAATTGATTGTTTTGGTTTTAATGTCTCTTAAATCCTTTATAAAGACACAGAATGATATTTGTAATTTGTTAATAATTATGCTAAGCAAACTATTAGTTAAATGTTTAATAAATCTCTTCTCTGGTGTAGAGATAAATTAATTTCTCAAACAATTTGAATTTTTAATTTGTTAATTCTAGTTTTTCTTTTTCTTTTTTATGTAAATCTTAGAAAATATGGATCTTTAAATTTTATTTGTTTTAAATAGAAAGCAAATTATCTATTTCCTTAAAGACTTCTGATTTTTTAAGTTTTTGGTGTTTTTGTAATTCTTCTATTACAACTAAAAATTAGATGCTCACATGATATTTTGAATGTTGATATTCGCTTGCTTGCCTTTATGGCGGTAAAAATAATTTGATGAATTCATTTTGGATGTCTGATTAATTCATACTCATAATAGCATCTTCGTGCGCACATTAAAATGAATCTGATACTATAGATTTTATTTAGAGATTATTTGCGAATAAGTCAAAATGATTCTATTTTCTGCCACAAAATACTATAATATTTTATTTTGTGTGTTTTACAAGCTAATAAGCGTATTACCCACTAGTTAGGATAGTTACATCTTGATTGCCAATATTTTATAATAATTCACATGCCTGAGACATGTCATTAAAAGCTTGAAATGCGTTTTAGTAATCATTTTGTAATTGTTCACAATATAATTTGTTCTCCCAATTAAAGATTTGGCTATCAACCCAAATAAGAATAGGATACTCTTAATTTTGTTATTAATACATGTGTACGTAATAATTATGTATTAAAATAATTTACCCCTTTTCTTCTTTTTATATTAAAAAAAATCACTGTATAAGAGGAAAAACAAGCAAGTGAGCCGAATAAAAATGTGCAACAATTTCTCTAAAATCTAATAAGCTTATTACTTACTTTGAGGAAGAATGTGTGAAATATTGCTAAAATATTGACGCCTAATAAAAAGGAAAGTTTGTTTCAGAAAATAAAATTTGTGATTCCTTTATTTTATCAGGATGGGTAAATATCCAAGAAATAGTGAAAGAAAACAATCAAATTATATATTCTTTTATAAAATTAGCAGCTAATTTTGAGGATTCGAGTTTATCTAATGATAACTAATCCCAATTTTAATTCAATATAAATTATCAGATATTTTAAAATTAAATTATAGTATCAACTTATAGCTAAATCATATTTTACTAGTATTATGAGTATAGACTTAAAGTAGAAGTTCATCAATTTTAATCATAGTAGTTAAAAAATATTAAGTAGTTTAATTCAAACTACTTGAGTATATTAATGAGAAATTTATTTTTTTTTAAATTGCAATAAAACCTTTTCTTAGTTTAATTGTCATAAAAAGTTGTTAAGAATGTGATGGCCACAACTAATGAAGATTTTCTATCTTGTTAAGAAGAATCCAAGAGAATTTATTTGCCCGGACATAAAGTAAATGTCTGTCCTTACAATAAGGTTGATGATTAAATTTGTAACGTATATTTAAAAACTAATTTAAAATTTTTTGAAGAGCCTTTCACAAATAATGATTGCCAATTTGGTTATTTTGAAGTAGATAATTAATGCGTATCATGATAGTTATTAGATAATTTATAGATATAGTCCTTCAATCATAAGGGATGATTTAATAATAATTGGTGTAGAATGCTTGTAAAATATTAAATCTTTTAGTTAAAGCCCATTTTGTTAAAATGATTTATATTTAGGTCAATTTTAATAGACAGAAAGTTTCTAATGGAGCCGATGAAAATGATGATAGTTTATATTTTTGCATAAGGTGTGAAAGAACCGCAATTAATGATATTTATTCTTTTACTTAGGCTTTTCATATAGCTCAAGCCCTTTTACATTAAATTGCCAGCTGGAGACTATAAGTGCTTATTTTTAAGTTCATAATTATGCAAAGGATATGCTTTATAGCTTTCAGGAATAAGAGGTATAAGGTGTTCTAATCTGAATTTATTAGAAGACTGAAGTGTAAAATTGATAGCACTAAATTTTCTATAATAGTAGTTAACAATTGCCTAAAACCCTATTTAAAAGCTCTAATAATTAGGGTTATTATGCCCTAATAGAATCGTATATATTGTTTTGAATACTAAGATGATAAATCTTCATTAAAAAGCACACTGTATAAAGATTTGAAAAGCTTTAATATTGATTAAAAGATATAAATTGGTTGTTCAATTTGTGAAGATGGCTTTATTTTTGACTTTACATTGGGGAATGTTTAAGAAAATAATCAAAAAATTTAAACTTATTTAAGATCATTTTTCAATTTTGATGGAATTGAAATATGTACTCTCTCAGCCGAAAATAACTTTACTGTTGCACCTGAAATTGTTAATTGTGATAAATATATCTCTTTTTATAAGGTGTTCTCACTCCTTTATCCAAGCTACAATGCATAATCTTTAGGGAAGGTTAAGTGAGCTCCATTATAACTGGGAACTGCGAATTGAGTGGATTACCAATATATCTTTAGAAGAGCACTTATGTAGTATATGTTAAAAATCCTAATATAGATGTCGATCTATGCTTTAGAAATGCTAAATACTGTTTTAACAAAAGCTGTTAAAATTGGTTTTCATTCTTCTTATTTTTTACTAACTGTTTGTTAGAAAGGTATCTTCAAGTTAGTTATTAGGAGGAAAGCAATTTTTAATATTGTAACCTAGTCGGATTAGATTAAATGCCATTAAATTATATTTTCTCACTTCATGACCAAATTAAATATAGGGATGGTTTTACTTTAACTTTATGGAAGGCTTAAAGAAGCAAATATTTTCTCTAAAGATTACTAATATGATATTATTTTGGGTTAAAGAATATTGCTTGAGTACAAGCAGTAATCAACTATGATGCAGTAGAACTCAAAAACTTAGCTTTACATTAATTTTTGGTTGAAATTCAGAAAATCCTGATAACAAAGCGGATATGACATTAAATAATTTATATTTCATAACCTCAAACTTTCTAGTCTGGCAATATTCTAAACATATTTATAACCAGCCATTACCAATTTTTAATGAATGGAAGTTTTTATTATCTAACAGATAATATAGGTGGGCCATGTTAGATTAAACAGGAAAAGTATTTAGAATGAATAATAAACTTTTAATAACATTTTAGCCAGCTATAGAATGATGATACTATAGCATTTAATTTGACAATTGCATTCTTACCTTTGAAATCACAACAATTCGCTTAGTACCAGAAGAATACTCAAAATAAATAAATAAAAAGATATAAGGTCTAAATCTGGATTATTAATGGAAATTAGTTTTATCATTTGCAACAATACACAGCTGATCTTATTTAAAATAGTAAAAGCTGAGAATTCATTTAAAGAAGCGGAGCAATTATAAAGTTATTCAAAATAATTGAAAATAAACATTGCATTATAATACTATTAAGTTAATCATTTAATTAAATTTAGGCTATAGATTTATAATTTTATTTAAACTTAAAGTTAGATAATAATATGTAAATGATAAAATTTAAAAAATTAAAATCTTTATATTACTAAACTGCTAATAATTTTCTCAAAAGGATTATCTAATAACAGCAATCAAATTTCAAAATTCAATCGATTCAATAAAAAGGAAATAATTTAAGATCAGTTTCAAGCATAGATAGAAATATAATTATTCGCAACAAGAATCGAAGGTTTTAATTAATTGTAAAATAGATTAAGATTATATTCAAAATTCTTTTATCAAATTTTAATTAGGTATAAAAAAATAAAAGAAAATCTGAATAATTTGTAGATTGATGAGTATATGCTCTTTTAAAATGATTTGGACGAAATTTTAATTTTTCTGAAATATCATTATTGGTAAATTCGATCTCTATTGCTAATTTGGACGATAACTCAACCGTATAACGAATTATATGAAATAATTTACAACTTATGTCTTCCTTTCATCAAAGATTATTAGCTCTATATATTAACTACTAATTCATCAGAAATTCGAAGAGGTTTAGTTATTCTTAAAAAGATTGTTATCATTTACTCATTTAAGATATGCTTATCTAATGATTAGATTTATATTATCTTATGCTTAAATGTAATATAGATAAGGAAGAAAGTATATTATAACCTAATTACTTAATATAAAATTCTAAATGTTTAGTGCTTAACAATCTCACAGTTAAAGAGTTCGTTTGTGTCTGAACCATCTCTACTACACTTCTATAATTCACATTTGACCTAAATTATTTGCAACAAATAAACGATATTTGCCTAGAATTATGATAAAGCTACCTATCTAATTTACATCGCAGGATGACCTTGATTTTTCAAAACAATAATAGTTTTAAACGTTTTGCTGATTAATTTAACATCATCTAAAATATGTAAATAATACATGGTTATTAAACCTAATTCAATAACGAAATACAAATTTTTCTGAATTTAATTGATTTCTTTGATAAAATTCTCCACAATTCCTTCCTGGTGATAACATTTTTATTCTAGCTATCGGAATGTATCATCAGCTTAAAGCTCCTCGACTGCTTACTAGCGCTTTAGCCTAATCTATATGATGAGCAAACTTATTTTTTCTCTTTGGTCCAAGGCCTCTTGTTGGATTTATCCAACTTGGTTTAGTCCTTCCACTATGTTCTATGAATTCTCCAAGTTGAATTATTATTGTTCTTCATTGTCTGAACCTCTCACATTGGATATATACTCATTCTACTCCTTAATACTATTATGTCTCCATTATTAATTATCTTTCTCATATAGCTATTGGAGTAGTCCTGTTAAGGTTTATTAATCCATTTAGAGTGCAATTTACTATCATTATCAATATTAAAATGATTTGTTTTCTCCTGTGCTAAAGGTCCATTAATGAATATCGGAGTCTTTTGTGAAAATTCCTTGCTACTACGTATAACAACATAGCAAGAGAATGTCTCTTACAATAATTGGAGAAGTAAATTGGTATTATGTATCTGATCTTTTCAGAGTATTGTTTATAAAATCTTCTTTTTAAATAGTATTTAGAAAGTCCCTCTTCCTTTCTGTTGACTTCAATCTTAAGGTTGATTATTAAGCGGGCCTTCAAGCTTTTGAACATAGCCAACCTAATATCCATCTCTTATTTTATTCCCTGATTTTTATACGATCTTCCTAATATTCATAGGGCCACACAATGTCTCCATGTCTAGCCAACATTCAACCATTCTTTTGAATATTCCTTCTATGTTTGCTCAAATGTCTTGAAATTTATGTTTCAACAGAAAAAGCAACTCAAGTATTTTAATGGCGAACATTTTGAAATAAGTATCCTCATGTGATGCTCAGACTTTCTCTGTTTTAATCCTTACCAAGCGATGTGCTTTATTTATTGACTTTCGAGAGTGATGAGTTTTTTGGATTATATCTCCTAGACTTGATATTTTATTTTTTAATTTAAACAATAATGATTTATTTTTTATATCCTTCACAGGAATCTATTACAGTAAA